TAGCTTGCTTCCAAATCTTGGTTATAGTGAACAGCACTGCAAGCAACATGGAAGTGCTGATACCTCTTCAATATACTGATTTCCTTTCCTTTAGGTACATACCTAGCAAAGAGATTGCTGGATCATATAGTAGCTCTATTTTCAGGTTTTTGAGGAACCTTTAAACTGTTCTGTTTGGTGGTTGTACTAATTTACATTCCCACCAACATTGTACTAGGGTTCTTTTTTTTCACATCCTCACCAGCATGTGTTATTGCCTGTCTTTTGGATAAAAGCCATTTTAACTTGGATGAGATGATACCTCATTGTAGTTTTGGTTTGCATTTCTCTGATGATCAATGATCAGCTTTTCATAAACCTGTTTGCCATTTGTATGTCTTCTTTTGAGAAATATGTGTTCAAATTTTTCGCCCATTTAAAAATCAGATTATTAGAATTTTTTTCTTTAGAGTTGTTTGGATTCCTTATCTATTCTGATTACTATTACCTTGTCAGATGGGTAGTTTGCAAACATTTTCTGCTAATCTGTGGGTCAGCTCTTCACTTGTTTGTTTTCTTTGGTGTGGAGAATATTTTAACTTGATGTGATGCTATTTGCCCATATTTGCTTTGGTTGCCTGTGCTTGTGGAATGTGACTCAATAAATCTTTGCCCACTTCAGTGTCTTGGACAGTTTTCTCAATGTTTTCTTTTAGTTTCACATTTTGATGTCTTAGATACAAGTCTTTAATCCATTTTTATTTGATTTTTGTATATAGTGAGAAATAAGGGTCTAGTTTTATTCTTCTGCATATGGATATCTAGTTTTCCCAGTGCCATTTATTGAAGAGACTGTCTTTTCCCCCAAGGTAAGTTCTTGGCACCTTTATCAAAAATGAGCTCACTGTAGATGGATGTCTGGAGTTGCTTCTGGGTTCTCTATTCTGTTCCACTGTTCTATAGGTCTCTTTTTATGTCAGTACTGTACTGTTTTGGTTACTATAGCTCTGTAGTTTAATTTGAAGTCAGGTAATGTAATTCCTCCAGTTTTGTTCTTTTTGTTCAGGATAGCTTTGACTATTCTGGGTCTTTTGTGGTTCTGTATACATTTTTTGATTATTTTTTCTATTTCTTTGAAGAATGTCATTGGTATTTTGATAAGGATTGCATTGCATCTGTACATTGCTTTGGCTAGTATGGACATTTTAACAATATTGATTCTTGCAATCCACGAACATGGAATATCTTTCTTTTTTCTGTCCTCTTCAGTTTCTTGCATCAGTGTTGTATTATTTCATTGTAGAGATCTTTCACTTCTTTGATTAATTTTTAGCTATCTTATTTTATTTGTAGCTATTATAAATGGAGATCCCTTTTTAAATTTCTTTTTCAGACTGCTGTTGGTATATAGAAATGCTACTGACTTTGTATGTTGATTTTGTATCCTGCAGTTTTACTGAATTTATCAGTTCTAATAGTTTTTTGATGAAGTCTTTAGGTTTTTTCAAATATAAGGTCATATCATCTGCAAACAAGGATAATTTGACTTCTTTCTTTCCAATTTGGATGCCCTTTCTTTTTCTTGTCTGATTGCTGTAGCTACAGCTTCCAGGACTATGTTGCATCACAGCGGTGAAAGTAGGCATCCTTGTTGTGTTCCATAACTTAGAGAAAAGCTGACTTTTTCCACTAGTGATATGATTTAGTTTCTTTTTATTTTATTTTTTGTTTGTATTTTTATTTTGTGTGTATCTGTTTTTTGGTTTGAGGTTACCAGGAGACTTGAAAATACTATCTTATCACCCATTATTTTAAGCTGATAACAACTTAACACTGTTAGCCTAAAAAAACAAACAAGCAAACAGAAAACTAATAAACACTCTATGCCTTAATGTCATCTCCCACTTTTTAACTTTTTGTTGTTTCTATTTATATCTTATGTTATCTATGTCTTGAAAAGTTATTTTTGTGCTTATTATTTTTGATTGGTTCATCTTTTAGTCTTTCTATTTAAGATGAGAATAGTTTACACACCAGTTACAGAGTTATAATATGCAGGGTTTTTTTCATGTATTTACATTAGCAGTGCTTTGTGTACCTTCAGATGATGATTTTTTTTATTGCTCATTGACATGCTTTTTTTTTTTTCTCTGAAAAGAACTCCCTTTAGCATTTCTTGTAGGACAGTTCCATTGTTGATGAAGTCCCTCAGGTTTTGTTTGTCTGGGAAAAATCTTTATTTCTCTCTCATGTTTGAAGGATATTTTCACCAGATACACTATTCTAGGGTAAAAGGTTTTTTTTTCCTTCGGCTCTTTAAATGTGTCATGCTGCTCTCTCCTGGCCCATAAGGTTTCCACTGAAAAGTCTGCTGCCAAACATATCGGAGCTCCATTGTATGTTACTTGTTTCTTTTCTCTTGCTGCTTTTGGGATCCATTCTTTATCCGTGACCTTCAGGAGTCTGATTATTAAATGCTTTGAGGTAGTCTTCTTCCGATGAAATTCGCTTGGTGTTCTATAACCTTCTTGTACTTGAATGTTAGTATCTTCCCATAGGTTTGAGAAGTTCTGTGTTATTTTCCCTTTGAATAACCTTTCTACCCCTGTCTATTTCTCTACCTCTTCTTTAAGGCCAACAACTCTTAGATTTGCCCTTTTGAGGCTTTTTTCTAGATCTTGTAGGAATGTTTTATTCTTTCTTATTTTGTCTCCTCTGACTGTGTATTTTCCAATACCCTGTCTTCAAGCTCAACAATTCCTTCTGCTTGATCAATTCTGTTATTAAGAGATTCTGCTGCATTCTTCAGTATGTCAATCACATTTTTTTCAGCTCCAGAATTTCTGCTTGATTCTTTTTATTTTCATCTCTTTGCTAGATTCGTCTGACAGAATTCTGATTTCCTTCTCTGTATTATCTTGAATTTATTTGAGTTTCCTCAAAGCAACTATTTTGAATTATTTGCCTTAAAAGTCACATATCTCTATTTCTATAGGATTGATCTTTGGTGCCTTATTTAGTTCATTTGGTGGGGTCATGTTTTCCTGGATGACCTTGATGCTAGTAAAACAACTGCTAGTTGTGTGTCAAAGACGGGAAGAAACAGACAAAACCCCTATACTGAATATTTTAATTTTTAATTGTTAAGAGTGCAACTACTCTTTGTCCAGCCCCATCTTCCTAAGGAAGCTATATGTTCCTGAGGGAGTTACATACACAGAAAAGATGCCAGACAAATGTAATCTTTTAATTCCTAGTTGGAGTATGGCTCACAACACGTTTCATGATGAGTCTGAACCTAGGAGAGCCACTGAGATGCCTTTTCACTTGGGCTTGAGGCTTCCTGCCAAGGCCTGGGTAGTAACTTCTTCCTATCAGCCCTGTTTTGATTACCATGTGGCTTTCCTAGGTCAAGGAAGCTATGGGGATGGCAGTGCACAACTCTCTCCCGTGGATTCTCCCTAAGAACTCCTAGAAGAGCTACATCCCTTCAGAGAAATAAAAAAAACACACCCCCAATATGAGAGGAATCTAAAGAGACCCTGCTTCATGAATAAGAAGGCTCTGCCTGCCTCTTGACGTGCCAACGCCTCCATTTATTAGCATCATGACACAGTGCTGTCCTTAGCTCTGCCCAAGCCCATCAGTCCTTCTCAGGAGTGGGGGGCCAGGAGTGGAGGAGAAATGCTTTGAGCTAACCCAGCAGGGTGGGTGGGTAATCAACATTGACTAAAAACATGGCAACATTCACACCAAATACGATCATTTTATTGGACACCTCTTGTTTCGCACCTCACAGACTCACCTCATTCTACCTTCTGCTGTAGCAGCCAGCTATGGTCAGATGTCATTGACACGACCTCCTCTCGGCTTCAAGCAATTGGGGTGGGAAATGGAGGGAGCAGAGTTGGAGAGATGAAGGTGGGCAGGGCAAAGCCTCTCCATCCATTTGGCAAACCCCTAACTCATCAAACTAGATCAAACAGTTCAGCAAAATACATTTAAGCCACCCTCAAGATGACTGCAGGCAATCCAGGCATGGAGATTTAGCTTTAATCAGAAGAGAAAAACTTTAAGCTGGTCGCTCATGGGTGGCTCATGCTGGTAATCCCAGCACTTTGGGAGGCCAAGGTCAGAGGATCACTTGAGGTCAGGAGTTCAAGAACAGCCTGGCCAACGTGGTGAAACCCCGTCTCTACTAAAAAAAATACAAAAATTAGCTGGGTGTGGTGGCATGCACCTGTAACTCAGGAAGCTGAGGCAGGAGAATTGCTTGAACCCATGAGGTGGAGGTTGCAGTGAGCCAAGACCATGCCACTGTATTCCAGCCTGGGCAACAGAATTGAGACTCTGCCTAAAAAAAAAAAAGAAACAAAGAAAGAAAAAAAAAAAGAAAAACTTCTCCTAACATGAAGTGAGCAGAAAAATCTTTTTGGCCATTTTTTTTTCCTTTCACTGAGCCTGTTGTGGCTTGAAAATGTTGAGGTGCCATTTTTGCTGTAACTGCCTTATAAGGATTCTGCCTTGCAACCATCTCTGTCTCAAAAGCCTTTTTCTTGTTTACAACAAGTTGTAGAACCATAGTTGATGATATGTTGTATTAGAAGTAGGAAGGGGGGGGTCTTAGAGATCATTTAGTTCAGTGTCTCTTTTCATAAGATGCTTAATGGTATGTCATAATCACACTCCTAGTTTGTGTCTGAGTCAGGTTTGTAACTCAGGTAGTCTGACTGCATGGTAATGTCCCCTGTGGTTGACAAAAGTTATAAGTAATCCAAATTTTCTCACTATACAGGGAAAAAAAACACCTTTAGGGAGTTGTGTAGGGGGAATTGATTTTGAAGTGTGAATTGAGGTAGATTCTCTGCTCTAGGTTTATAATTCTACTGGAAACCAAGAATTATAAACCAATACTTAGCTGTACAAGAAAGGAATTCCAGGGGGATATAGCAATTGGTTTTTCTTTTCCCTTTTGCACCTCCTATTAACGTGAGCAAGATGTGCATTTTCCTGTTTTACAGATTCAACTACAAAGGAAGAATTATGCACTGAAGCTCTACAACTTCATAAAGAAGAGGCCTTGATTAATAAATAACCTGACACCTTTCAGATGTTGCACGAGGAAAAGCAGGGTGCCCCAATTTCTGGGAGTCACTGCACTTCACTTACCCTGGGGCCTGTTTTACAGGCATTTTCCTGCTTAGTTAATTGTAGTTATTCCCAAAATAAACCTCATTTTATGTGGCACTCTTCTATTCTGAGGGAATGATGTAAGCAAGAATATTGGCTGGAGTATCTTGAATATCTGTGATAGATGGCTCCTTAGAATGAATCCTAAATCTCCAAGGGACCTATTTTATCTTGTGATTTTGCTCACAGGTTCTAAGCTACTGCTGGGCAGCGTTCCAATTCTATATTCTCTGTCTTCTGGAAGCACTGATGAAATCACTCAGCGGCTACCCGCTTCCATCTCACTAGGCACCTCTTGGCGCTCCTTCATCCCCACAGACTGAAAGCATGGTGACTAATGTGTCTTCCCCTTCAAATTATTCACAAACCCTACATGACCTTTGGCAGGCAGGGGTTCTACTGCGATGCTTCTGACTGTGGGTAAGGGGACATATGTGCTCACCATGGCTTGCTATTTCTCCTTGCTCCCTCTAGACCAGTGAGGCAGCTCTGTTAAATGGTCAGGCATAGTTTGTTGGTGGCCCCCAAACAATCCATCGGCAGTGGACATATTACAGAAAACATGGCTTTGAGTCTTAGCTTAAACTGTATTTATGTAGCATGACAATAGGAAAAATATCTAATTGTACTTGGATTAAAGTTCAAACAAAGGCCCCATGACTGGCTTGAAGATGCCCAGGTCCATGTGCCATGTTTTCCAGGGAAGGCAAGATGGGAGAGGATGTGGTCTGTTCTGTCATGAGCAGTTCTGTTTCCAGACCATTTCTCAGTCACTGGAGGCCCGTTTCTGGGGAAATGATTACTAAACTGTTGATTATTTTCTTTGTATTGCTGGCTATTCGCAACCACAGGGAAAATATGAGGTAGATGTGGAGTTTAAGAAAAAAAAAATGTGTATAAAAATGAGAAGCCACGCCTGCCTGTAGCACTAGCAAAAATCAAAGACGTCTGGTTTATTTGAATATTTCCAGACACCCCAAACAAAATTAGTATTGGAACCAAATTAAAGAATTTGACTCAATAACCTAAAAAATAGCTATTGGATGAAAAAATAAAGGATAAAATAGTGTTTAATTACTGACTGGCCATTTTCAAAGTGGCTTCTCCTACATTATCCCATTTTTAAAAAAGTAAATTTGATCTTTTTAAATGTTAGAGTGAAGTGGTTCACAATTGCTTGAAATAAGCAAAGGACATTATATTTATACGCATGCAAATTACAAACCAGGCAAAACAGTCTCTTCTGCTGCTTTATATATTTTTGTCAACCATCATGGATTCATGGAAAGGTCTCAAATAGATAGAACAAAATGGATTTAAAAAAATTGTTTGAACTTAGCGTGTTTTTCATTTCATTCTCGCTCTGTCTGTGGTCTCACTTTCTTTCTCTGTTACCTTCCCTTGAATGGTGAACTATTATTACTTGCATTTGGATAGACTATTATTTAGTTTGCCAAACATACCATTTTCCCGCTTATTAAAATCTCATAGTTGCTCAGCTTCATTAAGATAAATGGAATTATTCATCTGTTTTCCCCCCTTTGGCTATGGGGTCAACAAAATGATGTTAAGCAGGAGAGGACAGGGCTGGTGAACACTTTTAAATGTCACTAAGTAATTTTAGGAAGGAGCTGGCCTACCACTGTCCTGAATGATGGATATGCTCTCAACCTTAATGCCCATTAATGATGTACTTAATAACAGTTTGTCTTGTAACCATGGCTGTTCAACACTTGAATTTTGTGACAGTTATAACCAGGAGTGGACATTTCTGAAATCTGATACACTGAGAAGTAAAAAACCAGAACAAAGCAAGAAAAACAAAAACCTGAGCCTAACAAGCAGTCAAGGATGGCAAACCAAAAAAGAAAAAGAAACAAGAGTATAGCCAACCTTTTTTTTTTTAATTAGAGTATATTATACTTTCAAACTGGATACACTAGAAATTGGCAATGCAACATAAGATGCAAAGGAATATACCAGTTACTGTCAAAATGACCCTGTACAGCCTTGTAATGCAAAAAGCTTTATACAATACAAATTTTCAGTAATGTACACAAACCTTGACAGTATGATCATCTGAACATAATATGAAGAGTTAAAAAAAGGACAGAAGAAAGTGCTGAGAACCCTAACTGCATTACTATATGGAAAAATAAGCTAGCTTTCATTGAAGAATGCATAGTGAAAACAACTGAAGTTAGTTGGTAGGTGAATTTCTCAAAGATGTTAGTGTTTTACACGGAAAGGATATCTATGGAATACATCCTTCCCTGAGTATCAACTGCAAACCAAATTCAGGGGTACATATTTTCTAGGGTGGAGTCTGAAAAATGCTGTAGATTTTTTTCTTTATTAATAACAATAATAATATAAAAAGTCAAACAAACTCCCAACACACCTGTTCTCACTCAGAAAACTTTTATAATTTACCAGAAAGATTGATGACTCTTTCCAAAGTGCTAAAAAAGTTGCCCAATTATATTAAGCATTACTAAGTCATTCAAATACAAGTTCAGTGGCAAGCAGTGAAATGCATGGCATTTGAGCAGTAAACGTCTCCTTCCTTCACCCCTCTTGTTCTTGAAAGTTTCAACCCTAAGACCTCCTATTGCACAAGTGGCATGCTGTAAAACCTATAGTCCGAATTGTCAGGGCTGCCCTTTCAGGTTTTTAACCCACTGGTGCTTCAGTGTTACTCACCTTTTCTACCAGCCTCTGTGGGATTATAGCCCTTTCCTGTCATCACTGAACTTGTAATTTTGAAAACATATTATTAGCCTAGTGGCACATTCTCCATTATATGGGGATAGAGACATGACTTGAATAAAGACATGACTTGGAAAAAAAAAAAACCAACAAAAAAACCATCCCACCCATAAGCCCAGAATTCTTGGAGTGTATTGTCCATAACTATCTTTAGTGTCTTTTACTGAGACATTGACGTGGCGAGGTTGAACACCGTTTCAAACCTGGCCAAGAGCAAAGGTCTCTGCTGGAGAATGACTGAGGGTTTGGGAGCTTCCCGCCCTAGCTGGTTTGGCCTCCCTGACCCTGTGGGCATCTCCTTAGTGTAAACAGGTTTGCCAGGGCACCAGGCAGGCTCCCCATCCACGGCGGGTGACTGGCAAAAGGAGGTGTAGCATACCTGCTGGGTGTGGGGAGGAGGGACTGGCATGGAGGGGGCTGGGGAGAGCATGGTGTGGACAGACAGTACAGTCTTCTGGCTTCCTGTAGAACTGTACTAATTTCCAGGGAGCTTTCAGCAAAGCAAACTGACTAGAGGAAGAATATTAGGGATGCTTTTATTTTCCCCTGGTGAAACAGATTTTAAAAAAAACCAACTCTTAGGATAACACATGATGGAAAACAGCAACACAGAAAGAACGCGTTCCTCCTGTACACCAGTTCTCCAATAGATAAATAATATATAAACTTTTATATTCCAAACTTCCCATTATGATACAAAGAACATTTCTTCCTGCTCTTTCAGCCTGTTTCATACTGGAAATTCTGTTGTTTTAAAAATACAAGCAATGAACATATTCAGCCAAAGATTTTTTTTCCTTTTTTCTTTTAAAATCACCCATTACTTTTTAAGATTAGCAAAGGGCTTTACAACCAACCCACACCTGCTTCCTGCTGCAATAAAGTGCTGCACATAAATTGCCATTTTAATGACCACAAAATAAGAGCTTTTAAATAAGTATAAAGTTAGCCTCCTAGCAGGTTACATCTACCAGGCGTTAACAAAATGGAATACAGAGTTATTAATAACATGGAGAATACCGCGATAGCCAGAGGATCAGCAAAACACAATGGAAACTTGTCAGGGGCATAAACTGAACCATAGGACTAAACAGCACCTTTTTGTTGCGTCATTATATGTCAAAGAGGTTGTGGCTAAATCTTCAAACATACAGTCTTCTCATTCCATAAAAAAGGTACATTTTCTTCCTTTTATTTTACTTTCTTTTTTTTCAGATGAGAAACAAAAACTAGTGCAAGACCATAGCACTGTGCAAAACTGCCGTTTCTTTTTTTTTAGTCTGAGCATTTATACCCAGAATTTATCCAAACCCCTTTTAATCTCCTTGGCTGGATTTATCAACCATAAATTTTTTTCACTCATACATTTTTTTTTTCCTGCAAACAAATGGTAACCACTGAATTAATACATCATATATATATATAATCTGCCCTTAAAAAAATGATGCGCTGTGTGTGTGTGGACCCTCCACATTTGTCTATGTGTGGGCACACACACACAAAATACACTTAAGTTCTGTGATGTTAGCTGCAGTGCTGCGAGATATTTCTTCCAGATCAGTCACTTGATTCCTCGCATCTTCATCACCAGAGAAGATCTGAGCACAGGGTCTCCAGAGCTCTGGCGGAAATCTCCAGCAGCACTGCAGATGTCTACCATTCCTTCATCGACTAAGCACCAGGCCCTACCACTCTGTAGCCGTCAAAGAGAGAGGGAAAGGTGATGAAGGAGCACAGGGTGAGACAGCTGTGGATGAACCGCCCAGGAGGGAAAAGAACGTTCATCGCTGTTGAAGAAGCCAGTACAAAGAATGTGCAATAGAAATGTCACGGCACGCGACACACGGCTTTCTCTTTCAGAATCCGCAAACGCCCACGCACCCCCATTCACCCAACAGAAAACCAAATGCACCGGTATACAAGCTTACAAGTGCTGATTGCTATTAAGGACACTCTCTTTAGGGTTTAACAAGACAAGATTCCTTTCAGAGAAAAGCACGGAGAAGGGCTGAGAGTGGGAGTGGGTGGCTGGGGAGGCATGCCTCTGAAGGTAGAAGTATGCAGTAGGTCACCTCTCTGAAGATTGGATAAAGCAGCTTTCAGGTCAATGCAATAGGTATACACACAGAGCCAATTCTCTATTCCTTACTAAAGATATACAGTACACATGTTTCAGACCCATGCGGGCCTGTAGGTTTTGCAGCAACATACACCTGCTGGGGTTGTGTTTAAGTTTTGAGGGTTTTTTTTTTTTTTTTGTCTTTGTCTCTTTGTTTTTTGGTACAGAGCATGGCTGCCCTCAGACAGTCTCTGCTCTTTCTCTCAGTCCGAGATAGGCGAGGAAGGAGTGTTTGGGCGAGGGGATGCTGGGAGGCGCAGTCTGAGGTCGGGGAGGGTGGAATGTGAGATCCAAGTGGTTCTTGGGGTATAACATTGTCAAGGGAATGAGATGGGCAAAATCTGAGTTCCTGTACTTGTCAAAGCGCAAAGGGGAGCCGTTGAAGGCCAAAGCCTTGAGTGCCAGGTTGGGCTCTGAGCTGCTGCCGTGGGCTGCCGACAGGGCCACGGTCTGCAGAGCCTGGGAGGCGGACATGACTGACAGGGGAGACAAGAGATTCCGGGAGCTCCCGACCACCAGGAGCGGGGCCCCGGGGCCGGCCGGTTCCTTGGGGGCTGGACACAGGCCCTTCTTGTCCTCCTCGGGGCAGTCCCCACTCTGGTGCTTCTTGACGTGGCGGCTGAAGACGAAAGGGTGTGTGGTCTTGAACAGGCACTCTTCGCAGCTGAAGGTCTGGCGAGGGGCGTGCTTCAGCTTCTTGTGCAGGTTGAGATTGTCCTTGCGCTTGCAGCTGTAGCTGCACTGGTCACAGTGGAAGGGCCGCTCCCCGGTGTGGACGCGCACGTGCTCGATGAGCTTGTTGGCGGTCTTAGACAGGTAGCCGCACTGGTCGCACTTGTAGTGGTTGCCCAGGCGGTGCTCCCGGGTGTGCGTCTCCAGCTCCAGCTGGTTGGCCTTCACCGTCTGGCAGATCCGGCACTTGTACTCCATCTTGTAGTGGGTCTTGAGGTGGCACTCCATGGCAGCGGGGCGGTTGGTGGAATAAATGCAGAATGGGCACCTGCCGGGGGAAGCAGCGCAAGGGAGGTTCAGCTGGGACGGTCTGGAGGCAGCCCCGCTTCTCCCCTCCTCACCAGCCTTCCCTCACACCGCCCCCCAGTGTCTGAGGCCTGCCCAGCCCAGCCCTGCCGCCTCTCAGGGGTGGAACAGCCCTTTTTGGCTCCCCTGCTGACAGAGCAGTCCCCACTGACAAGCAGCTCTGGCGAGGGCCGCTCAGCCTATGCTGGGTCTCCTGGCCAGCACAGCCAATGCCAGCTCTCAGGAAGGGGAGCAGAGAAAGTGCCAGGAATCAATTCCCTGGTGCTCCCCTCCAGCCCCCGCCCAACCCCTCGGAGCCCTCCCCACTCCCGACCAGACAGAGCAGAGGTCTAAACCTCCTGACCTCCCCTCTAGATGGGAGCAACACAAAGAATCGACTTTTCATGCACCACACCAAGCACACGCAGAAAGGCTAAGAGGTTTTAAAGAACAGCTTATAGGGGGAGCGCTACCTCCAGCAAACAGAAAGTCACAGGGGTCAGAATCGTGCTTATTAAGGGGTTGTTAGGATGAGAAGGCCTGTGTGTGTCTCTCTGTGTGAGTGTGTGCGTGTGTACATATCTATGTACTCATAAAACATATTTCCTTATAGGACTGGCTCTTGATCAGGAAAGGAAGCTGAGGACTATGGCAGGGGCATGGGAGGAGAAGGAAGCCCACCCAAACGGCCCATCTGCTAATGAGGAAGGGAGGAGGGAGGAGACAGCTGCTATCTGGAGCTCAAAGACATTATTAATACATGATTATGCCGTAGAAATGGTAATAATCCAACTGAATCGGAAATTCTCAGAGGGCAGGAACGAATCTTACATTTCCTCTGCATTCTCTGCTGTGCTTGGTAGAGTACTCAGCACATGGTAAGCACTCAGGACATACTGGTTCATTATTTGAGTGGTCTCTACAGGCAATTTAGGTAGATTCTGGAAGGGTGGATGCTGGTCTCAGCTCCATCACCTTATCAGGCCGGAGCTGGATACCCTAGGATGAGCCTGGGCCTCTCTGTGGCTCAGTTTCTCCATCCTTTGCAGTGAGGTTACGCTACCACCAGCCCTCCTGGCTGTCCAGAGGGGCCACGAGGAGTGGTGAGGCCACGTTAACAAACTCCGCTGAGCTTCTCTTTTAGAAGCTGCCAGGCTGGAGTCAGTGGCTTAGAGGAGAACGGTAGCGTGTTTGCTCTCTTTCCACAAAGAATGCAAATGCAAAAGTGGCTGCCTCAGCTCTTGCTTGGCTCCTGCAGGGCAGGGCCCGGGAGTGGACTGTCCTCGGAGGGTCTGGAGAGAGGTGTTCAGCAGAGCCCAACACAACCAAGTGCACCGTGCACGGCCTCCTCAGCGCCAAGCTCGCCGTTAGCCTTTGAACCTCAGCTCACAGAAGAGTGCACACGAGAGAAATATAAAGCCCATTCCCAGGTCAGGTGCACACACAACCCCTACGCCAAGCTGGGCCTTACCTAGAGGAGTCTGAAACTCACCACTGTCCTGAGCTACGGCAAAAGAAAAATAATAGTATAATCTTATTTGATCTGCATTATGAACAGGATATAGAGTACAAGCAGTTCCATCACAGAAAAGCAATTTAGACATCGGCAGTCTGTTTCATTTTAAGGACATTTCTGTGACCCACAGCTCAATCTTTCTTTCACTGCTCAGGCAAAGTGCTAAGGGTTTTTTTCCGTGCTCCCGTTATTTTCTTAAAGACACTCTCTCAGGCAAATTAATTCTCTGATATGGCAAAGGAAACAAAACAAAACAAAACGAAGACTCACTGTATAGCCAGAAGGCATTATCAATTTTTTCAAAGTATTCTTCTACTTGGTCATCCTAGAACATAAACTATTACACAGGGGACGGTTAGCACCGCACGGGAAGTGTTCTGTACCAGCAAAAGCATCAGAGTTCACTGTGCATTCTCCCCCATGGCTTCAGAGGCTCGGGACTTTGGAGGTCCCTGAGGAAAGGCGAACTGGCAAAGCCACAACTGGCAGGGGCCGTAACGTTCATGGGTGTGACTGGGCTACTGGGAAGGGCAGTGATCACTGGTCCAACCACAGAAAAACATGATTCTGGTGTTTTTCTTTTTAAAGTAAGAGCACACAAATATTTATAAAGGGACAGTGGGAACAAATCAAATCAAATTTCCCAATGAGCTCTCACTAGGCATTTCCCGTCGACTGGCTTCCTTGAATTATAATTACCCCCTCCCCAATCCCCTCTGCTCTCCCCTCCCCCTCCCACGGAAGCACCCCCAAGAGTGAAACGAAACGGAGTTCAACGGTAGGTCCTGTTGCTCCCTGACTCTTCTGTTTGGGGAAGATTTTGAGGAGGCAGGGGCCTGGGGCCACCAGGCCTGCACTGCCCCCAACGCTGCACTCCTGGGGTCCTTTTCCATCTCTCCCTTCCTCACCCATTTGGGGGAGTCATGCCACCTCTCTGGCAGGTTGCGGGTTTCAATGCTGAAAATGTTTGAAAACAAAAGTTTTTTTTTTTTTTTCCCTTGTGTTAAGTAAAACATAATTTTTCATTCAACATGATTGTTTAGCTAAAAATGAGTAATTATGCCTTGAAAACGGTGTCTTTCTGTGTCGCTACATGTGCCGCTTTCTCTTTACCAGACCCTAAGTGCCTTGTGAACAGGGACTCTGATTTCACTGGGCAGATTAGGTAGTACTAGGGGATACATTTCTTGAGGGTGGAAATGGTGTTTTATTCCTGTGTGCCCGTTAGCACCTGTTATCAAGCCAGACACACAGTATGTTTGATATTAATTGATTGGTCACACTTGAGACCAAAGAGTCTCTTGAAAATACTGGTTAAAGATGATGGTCGCTGTCTAGACCTCTGGAGGAAGACATCAGTATGTTTGCAGGAGGATAGGAAGCACATGATCTTTGTATGAAAAATGTTGCCTCCTGCCTCTTCAAACTGTCCAATTTTGGGGGGAGGGGTTGTAATGGTTACTTAAAGGATGTGTAGCAAGCCATCTGAAAAACAGAGATGGTGAATCTCGGTGAGAGCATGATTTATGCTTGCGGACACTAAGCCCCAACTCCATTAAAATCAAGTCTGAACAAAACTCAAGCAGTGTAGGAGGAGTCTATTCTTGCATGCTGGGCTGTTGCAACGTGTCGTTTTTCTTGCCCTGAATCCCGGGATATTTGCAAAATGGATTCTCCTGCTGAGGTCTATTGACACCTTAGGGGGACAGGTCTAATTCAATCCAGCTAAAAGGCAGCAGAGGTTCCTGACTAACTCCCCTCATACCAAGCTCCCCTTCTCCATGACTCCCAAAACCTTCACGGGAAGGGACAGGGTAGGGAAGGGGAAAGGGTGTTTAATAACAACGCAGTAAAAGGTTCTGTACTTGCTTTCCTTACTTGAGCCCACCGGTGGGGACAGTGTGGCATTTCTTATGCTCCAGCAGCTGTTCAGGGGTCTTCATGAACTTGTGGCACACATCACACTCAAACATCCGGGTGATGAGGTGTATCTGCAGATGACGCTCAAACATGTTCTTCGTCTTGCAGACAAAGTTGCAAAAAACGCATTCGAACCCTGCAAGGACCGAAGCTGGGTATAGAGGTGCATGGGGCAGGGGGGAGAGGAGGGCAGGAGTGGAGCCGAGTTCCTCCTTCCTCCCGCCTCCTCTGCCTGACAGCTGTACCCTGCCAGGCACTGTTTCCCACATCTCCGTGCTAAAAGGAGTCAAACATACAAACATCGGGATCAGTGTCACCCTCCCCATTCTTCCACCCCCGTAGTCAGATGCAAATTAAGCCAAAGGAAATGCAAATTTTAGGTGATGCCCAGCATACTGCATTCTGGGCCTATTATCAGTTTCTGACATTGCTCTTGTCCAGGGCTTATTCTCAAGAATGGGTCATCCCGGGGTGCAGAGGGTTGAGCAGGCTCACACCCACCTCCTCCTTACCTTTCTCTGGCTTTTCCTCACTGTTCAGTGAGGGCTGGCTCCCAGGCATGACAGAGATGACCAGCAGGTTGTTCCCACCCTTGTTTTTCTGGGAGCCATCTGAATCATCTTTGCTGTTGGCCGAATCACTCAGAGCTGAGAGGGAGGATGAAGAGGGGCTATTTGATTCGCTGGGGGTCTTCCTGTCTTCCCCTGAAAAACAGGCAAATAACCCAGTCTTGTTACTGAGATGAAAAGAATGACAGCAACTGAGGGTGACAAGTTGAGTCACATGGATGCATCATCATTCTGGGAGCACACGCTCATGTCCCCAGCACCCTCAGCGATGGGGGATCCCAGATCCTAAGGCACCTACCTCCTTTGTGGTACTGGGGGCCAAGAGCAGGCATTCATTCATTTGACAAGTGTCTATTAGCTAAGATGTGCTGAACATGTTACACATTCCAGGAAGTGTGTTATACTTTAAATTATCTCATTTTGTTTTTTTAAAAATCCTATGTGACACAACCGTTATCAGCCCCATTTTACAATGAGGGAATGAAGTCACAGAAAGGTTAATCTGGCCTAGATCATCTGACTGGGAAGTGGTGGAGAAGAGGCTGGAGCTGGTCTGACTCCAGGCTCCATGCTCTTCATCAGGACACTGGTCCCTCTCCCTCAAAGCCAGATACAAACAAGTTAACAGGCCATTAAAATCTAGTGTCAAAAGACTTCTGCTTCTACTCAAGAGGGAGTGTCAGGGACTGGGTTTACCATTACTACTGAAACAACTGAAAAAATCAGACAAAATATATCACATGCTAGTTTTCATATCACTGGATGTTAGGCAATGAAGAAAAGTGGTCCCTGAGAGACAGGAAACAAAGGAGGTGAGCCCTGTGACTGATCAGCTTCCTGCCTTGAGACTTTCCAGGCTCCAGTGCACAGAGGAGGAGTCAGGTGGTACCTGACAGACTCCCTGAGTGGAGGAGACGGAGCTGAGGGCCCGACCACACTTTGCAGAACAGAGGAGGATCAGAGAGGAAGGGGCAGCACAGAAGAAGAACTCCAGAGACCACAGAGGGTTTCCCTTGAGTATTCAGCAAAGTATGGATCAGAGCATGGGGGTGAAGAAACTACCTATACTTGGAGGGGGAAAAGTCACCTGAAAGGCTTAGAGAACAGTGCCCAACACTCAGAGAGGGCTAGAAATAACGCTTGTTTCCACCAGTCAGATTGGGAAAACAATCTACAGGGCATTAGGTAGAAAACCGAGAAAGCTCTCTAAGTAGTGGGTTAAACCTAGATAAATCACCACCTAGTGATCTAGACCTGCCGAAGAATCATGAAAGCAAGAACCCAAAGGAAAGAGGTTTCCAGGTAGCTAGTTGCATCCTAAAACAAAGGTCAAGCATATGTATAGGGATATAAAATATTAAGCATCCAACATGGTAAAAATCACAATGTTTGCATCCAAGGATGATCAGATGTGCAAAACAATAAACACAATTCAAATTGAGAATAATCAACCAGTCAAAACTGACCCAGAACAGACACAGTTGTTAGACTTTGCAGACAAGGACATTAAAACAGTTGTAACTATGTTTCATATGTTCAAGAAATTAAGTAGAGACATGGATAATATTAAAAAGATCCAAATAAAATTTCTACGGATGAAAACTGCAGTCTGTTACCAGCAGTAATCCCATTAGACATGGCATAGGAAAAGATGAGTAAACCTGGAGATAACAGCTATAGAAACTATCTGAAATGAAACAGAGAAAGGAAATCCCCCAAATGAAATGAGCATCAGTGAACTGTGGGGTGCCTTTGGGAAGTGTAAACTAAGTTTAATTGGAATCCCTGGTGGGGTGGGGAAGGTGGAAATGTGAAATAGCCCAAAATTTTCCAAATTTGAGGAAAATTATAAACCTATAGATCCAAGAAGCTCAATGAACTTCATGTATAAGAAATATGAAGAAACCTGTATAAAGGAACATCAAAAATTGCTCAAAACCAGTGCTAAAGAGCAAAATCCTAAAAGTAGCCAGAGGAAGACAGATATGTTACATGAACAGGAACAAAAATAAGGATGACAGTGGATATCTCACTGGAAACTATGCAAGTAAGAAGACTGTGAAGCAACATCTTTAAAGTACTGAAAGATATATTGTCAACCTAAAATCTTATACCCAGTAAAAAAGTATTTAAAAAATGAAGGCAACAAACAAAAGCTCACATAAAAAAAAAAAAAAAAAGAAGGAATTAATCACCAGCAGGCTTGAATTACAAGAAATGTTCAAAGTCCATGCAGAAGAAAAATGGCATCAGATGTAAAACTGATCTACACAAAAGAATGAAAAGGCTAGAAATGATAAGCACATGGATAAATTTGTAGTTTTTAAATTATTGAAATATCTTTAAAAGTGAAAGTAACATTGTTAAAACAAAAATAATAGTGTCTTGTAGGGTTTGTAAAACACATGTAAGTAAATATATGACAATAGCATAAAGGCTAGGAAGAGAGAAATGGAAGTCTACTATTGTGAGGCTCTTACACAGCATATGAGGTGGTTTAATAATCACTTGAAGTTCTACTGTGACAAATTAAAAATTAAAAATGTACTTTTTTTTTTTTTTTTGGAGACAGGGTCTCTCCTCTGTCACCCAGGCTGGAATGCAGTGGCATGATCTCGGCTCACTGCAACCTCCACCTCCTGGGTTCAAGGAATTCTTCTGCCTCAGCCTCCCAAGTAGCTGGGATTACAGGCGTGTGCCATCATGCCTGGCTAATTTTTGTATTTTCAGAAGAGACAGGGTTTCACCATGTTGGCCAGGCTGGTCTTGAATTCCTGACCTCAAGTGATTTACCCACCTTGGCCTCCCAAAGTGCTGGGATTACAAGCATGAGCCACTGCATCCAGCCTAAATGTGTACATTATAAACCCCAAGTAACTGGAGAGTTAAACTTTGTTCCTGGTTCAAGAAACTTGAGAATGTTAAGATGTCAATTATCCACAAAATGATTTACAGATTCAATGTGAGCCTGTAGTTTTAGGTTAGGGGAGAAAATATAGGGAGACTGTTCTTCAGTTCCCTTCAAATCAGTTAATTAAGCAACCTAGTGACTGTAAATGTGCTCCTAATTTCCTTTATTAGGAGATTAAAAAATAAGTCATATATAGGTATGCAAAGTTTGGAAATAAACAGCACTATAATGGTGGGTTATGTCTACAGTATAAAATTATTGGTGTCATGTTTGTTTACTTTTATTTCATTTTCAAAATTTTCTAGAGTGACCATATTTTTCAAAGTTTTTGGCCTGGTGAGGTGGCTCACGTCTGTAATCCCAGCATTTTGGAAGGCTGAGGCAGGTGGATGACCTGAGGTCAGAAGTTCGAGAGCAGCCTGACCAACGTGGAGAAACCCCCGTCTCTACTAAAAATACAAAATTAGCTGGGAGTGGTGGTGCATGCCTGTAATCCCAGCTACTCAGGAGGCTGAGGCAGGAGAATCACTTGAACCTGGGAGGCGGAGGTTGCAGTAAGCCAAGATCATGCGTACCATTGTACTCCAGCCTGGGCAACAAGAGTGAAACTCTGTGTCAAAAAAAAAAAAAAAAAAAGAAGTTTTTAAAAAGAGAAAGGAAGAAATATTTACCCACTTACAATGTTTTCAAATGATGTTCCCATCAGAACTGCACTTTGGGTCCAGGGCAGACAACTCTTACTTCAGTTCACAATTTAAAAAACTTTGTTCCTATTAGAACTGCAAGTATGTGACCTCAGTCACTGACCATGAGGAGCAATGGCATATGCCTTTAGAATTCAGACTCCTTCTTGGTACAAGGAAGCTATGTGAAAGCTAGTACCATTATTGCCAGTCACTTATCTGTATATATTTAACCAGCTTAGTTACATTTTCTAGATAGAACATTTTCAGCGGGGACCCTGAATCCCTGATATTGCAACTCCATCTTCTAATATTGGCCTGTTGCAAGTGATTCTTTTAAATTCATTTTTAGAATTAAAACATATTAATTTCAACTACGATCTCTAAACACAGATTCAAGTACCCTCAGGCTTACAGCACCAGGCAGAAATACTTAAACTAATAAATTTATAAAGATATAATGTGCTGTGCCAGCCACTCTGTGATGCAGCCCAGCTTGCCCAATGTGTAATCCCTAGTCCAAACAGCCTCCTCCGTTTCTGACCTCATCTTGTTTTGCTATGTCTGTGGAGACAGCCAGGATGCTCTTGCCAGTCAAGTCCAAGGCTGTGACCCAAGTGGTCATTTACCTTCTTCAGCATCGCAAAGATCTTGGTGAAGGACACCTGTGCACAGGTGATGCAACCTCACACATTGGACAACCAGCTGAAGAGAACTTAAAAAACAAAACAAAACAAAACCCCTAAGTATTGCACAACTTAAAACAGCACAAATTAGGAAATTGAAACCATAAAAAATTACCAATCATCTTGTTGCGTCAGTACAGACATGGTTAGATTTTAGTGCACTTCTTTTCATTCTTAAAAAAGTAAGCACTTCTATTTTTAAATTGTTGCCATTAAGGTTAAGAATAAGGACTCTAGATATCCAGGCTGGGCGCAGTGGCTCACGCCTGTAATCCCAGCACTTTGGGAGGCTGAGGCGGGTGAATTGCTTGAGGCCAGGAGTTCAAGACCAGCATGGCCAGATGGCAAAACCCCGTCTCTACTAAAAATGCCAAAAAGTAAGCCAGGCGTGGTGGCCAACACCTGCGATCCCAGCTATTCAGGAGGCTGAGACATGAGATTTGCTTGAACCCGAGAGGTGGAGGTTGTAGTGAGCCAAGATCGTGCCACTTCACTCCAGCCTTGGTAACAGAGTGAGACCCTGTCTCAAAACAAATAAATAAATAATAAAAATAAAAAACAGATCAGAATATCTGAGTTTGAATCCCACCTCCACCACTTAGTAGCTGTATGACTTTGGACAAGATACTTAACTTTGTGCCTCAATTATCTCATCTATAAAATGGGGATAATACCAGCACTTACCTCATATGGTTGTCTTGAGAATTAAATAGGTTTTTATACGTAAATCACTAAGAACAATGTCTGGATCATGGTAAGCTTTATAGAAAATATTATTATTCTATTATAAAACATACATAATATTTATAAAATGTAATAATGATAACTAATGCTTTGTATTTTCCCATGCTATTTTAGATATCTGTACATAGTTGGCTCTCAAAAAAATCCATGAAAATATTTCTGTTGTTTTAAATGACACTATTATATCCATGGAGGGGACTTACTCTACTTAAATAGTTCCTTAAAATTAAAGTTAAAATTAATATTTCACTGATTGAATATTTTCTCAAGAATAAATATTCAGAGATTGTATTACTGGGTCACAGGGCATTACATTTTAAGCCTCTTGGTATAAACAGCTTAATTAGTTTCCAAACAGTTTACCACTCTGCAGGGCGACAGCAATGTGAGTGTCGGCGTCATCCCAGCAACAGTGAGAATTAACATCAAATGCTCTCCTAACTTAACAGGTGGAATATAAGCCTTGAGCTTCAGTTGGGCTGCCAGTGAGGCTGCATGTGTTTCCTTATGGTAAGTGGTTAGCTTTTACTTCCTTCACTGTGAATTGAGGCTCACGTCCTCATATCCTTTGCTAATTCTTCACTTAGAGACCTAAAGGTTTTCTTAACAGTTTATAGGAATATTTTGTGTAGTAAATAGGTTAACCTTTTGTCATTTTTGTAAACACATTTTTTTTAGACTGAGGTTTTGGTTTTGCTTCTCTTTTTCTGTTATTTTGCAAACTGAAGAAATTTTTTTGTGTCAAATCTCTCGACTGTTTTCATCTGCGCTTTATTTTATCATGTAAGCTTTGACAAATCCTTCTTGCTCTGTGAGTTTGATAAATATTCTATTTTCTTCAGGCTTTTCTAGGGCTGATTTGTTAACGTGGATTCTGTAAGTTATCTGGAATTTATTTTGAGTCAATGTGAGGTGAGGTACTGATAGCTGTATTTTCCAAATAGCCATTTGGATTCCTCAGTGCCATTTATTGCAACATTTAGAAATTGCAGTAAAATTTGCATTGAAGAAGTCACAAGCACCAGAGGGGATGTTTCCCACTTGTTGATATACTCTCTTCAGGGACAAGATGCCAGATGGTGGGAGAAAGAAGGTAAGGAGGGGTCACTATGGGGAAACACCTAATGAAAGGACAGTTCTTCAGGTACTCCCTTAACATCCCACTCACAGGCATGCCTGGAGTCACAGCAACCCATAAGAAAATGTGAGAAGGCACGGGTTCTGTAGGAGGCTACACAAAACGCATGCTGTTGATTAGAGCTCATCCTGTAGATCACAACTTCACTTAGGTAACAAAGCAGTGTGGCAGATTTCCTAAGGTACTGAAATAGTAGGTGTCTTTTCCTAAGATAGGAAAATCAAATTAGAGAACAAGGCTCATAGAATTAGAGAATCTTAGGCCCAAGGGCATCTCCTGCACATCTGAAAATACAGGGAACATATGGAGGCTCAGAGAAGTTAACTGAGGTCCTACATTCACAATACTACTTATGGTACCATGGGGTCTAGAACCCGGATTCAGTGTGTGCTTTCCTCCATGTCAAGTAACTTCCACATAGGTTACAGAAATAAGTCACTAGGACTCTAAGGTTCAAGCAAGGGCCACGTCTAAGTAGTTTTCTTACTTAGCATGCACAAATGTTTGTAGATGAGCTTGTACACAAATATATTCATTCACTGAAGGAACATTGAGTCCCCACTTGTACTATGTAGGGTGTGTTCCAGGTGCTGAGATACAGCAGTGACTTAGACAAGCTCCCGGTTATTGGGAATACATATTGCTATATATGTCATGTAACATATATATTGCTTTATATCATAACTTTGCAATAATCTAACTTACTAATTTACAAATTTAGATTGATCTATTTGAGAGTCAAACTCAAACATGTCAAAACTACACTAAATACTGGAAACCTTTGCTGTGAGACCTTTAGCTTATAACAGGGGTCAGCAAACTGTAGTCCTTGGGCTCAAATGAGCCTCCTGCTTTTGTAAAGAAAATTTCATTGGAACATGGCCATGCCCACATATTTGCATATTGTCTACGATACTTTCAAGTTTCAACAGCCGAGTTCAGTAGTAGTGACAGAAACTGTATGACCTGAAAGCCTAAAATATTTACTATTTGCCCCTTTTGAAAAAAGCTTACAGGGCCTTGGCTTATAAAATAGGTTTTAACCTTATTCTTAGAGCAGCAGCATTAAAGGCTTCCACTGAATTAAAAAAGAAAATTCTTTAATGCGTTTCACTCTTGGGTGACTGTACTAATGAACAAGAATATTCTTTCCTGCTAGACAATGAGCCCTAAGCCCTGATACATCAGAGAGAACAAGAGCTGTGTTCATTCCCTGTGGTAATTACCAGGTACGTGTTTGCGCTGGTTAGCTGTGAAGTTTCCACTCATGACAATTTAGTGATGACAAGTCCAGCTTCCTCCTAGCCATATGGTTTCTATGGTTTACTTATGGTGGGATGGGCGAGGAGGGAAGACTTGGAGCAGGATGGGAGGGAGGAAGGTTTTCAGCTGGGTTCAGGTATACTTTGGGTTAAAGAGGGTTAGAACGAAGGTTAACAGAAAGGAGAAAAAAAAGACTATCTGAAAAGCCAGTGGTAATGGAAAAGAGGTTGGCCTTTTCCTCCATTAGCCACTCCAGAAATGCTGAATTTAATTTGTCTTCAATATGGGTTTCCCAGCTCACCTGCTGCCCACAGGCTAATGTGGTTACAGTCAGAGAACTGACTATAAAAATGGCACCTTCTCACTCAGCATAACGGCTCTCTGCAGACCTCCAAGTCATAGCTGCTCAATTTACTGACAAAAACAAGCTTTTATTGCTGTTGGCATCACTGAGCCAAAGTGGCCGGAGAAGCACAGAGAGATCCTTCTCTGCCGTGCACATCGTCAGCACAACTGTCAGGGAAACTCCCCTTCCCAAATCCTTCAAGTGCTGATGATGTGAGGGGCTGACCCAACACCCAGGGCTGGCAGTCAGCAACATCAGCTCTTAATTTGTAAGCCCTGCAAATGCAGTGGGGAGCTCCTCCTCATTCTCACTTAATGACTCCATGCTGGTATCATCTGTAACCACCGCTTGTGAGAGTATAATTGCACGGTGAAGTCAGAACGTTAACATCAATAAACGGAAGAAGTTAACCAGAATGGCAAGAGGCTTAAACAACAGGCAAGCACTAGTGGAGGCTTGGCTGTGGCCTAGACAGTGATGGGTTTGTTTCAGGAGAATCTGGTTTTCTTTGGCCCTGAACACACACGCCATGCGTCATTAAGGAGAGCATCAGGGCTGCAGTTTCACTGGAGAGGAGCAAAGCCTACAGAAGTAGGTGTGCAGTGCCTGGCACAGGAAAACAGGTTCAAAGCTCTGCCAAGTGTTTCTTGGGGTTGTCAGAACAGCAATGATACAGAGAGAAAGCCCTGGAGTGAAAACTGTTCTGGGCTGAGTTTCACTAGTGACTGAAACTAGTGACAACAGCAACTCCTAATTGCTGACATTGGAGGGAATACCCCATCTCTCTTAAGCCTGTTTTTTCACCTGTACTATACAGTTTGATAACAATAGTATTCACCTTAGAGGGTTGCTATGGGGCTTCAATGAGATCCAGGGTGCCAAGATGTAAGGCTGAGGCACTGATAGATTGTTACATATGGTGATGAGGAAGAGGACCAGGGTGAGCAACAAGCAAAGAGCTCAGCCCCTCTCTACTGCATCTGAACTTGGGAGTCTTTCAGAGCAGTGAGTCCCAGGCCTTGCCAGGAAACAGTATGATGACTACAGGGAAACGTGACTCTCATGCCTTGGGAAAGTCCTTCCTTCCATGGAAGGAAAGGGCAATGTCTCAGGGCAGTGGGGATGCTTCAGCCAGGTGGCAGGTGCTCTGGGGTGCAGGGGATGGAGGAGGAGTGTGAGAAGGACAGACAGGAATGGTCACCTGTGTGCTTGGTGCCAATGTGAGTCTTTATCTCTGCTTCCTCCATGGTGACAAAGTCGCAGGCAGTACAGCAGATCGAAAACATCCACTGCTCCTTGTCCACGTGGAGTGACATGTGGCTGACAAACTGGACATTGAGCTCGGTCTCAAATCCACACACGTGACAACTACATGAAAGGGTAAAAAAGGGTGAGAGAAAAGGGTGACACATACTTCTAAATGTGGGCTGCCCATTTATACACAGTACACTCGAGAAAACTGGAATTTTAAAAACATTTGTCTCTCCACCAAAAGGTTTTGCATTAGAAAAGCCTCTGCTTTCTGGGTTGCCTCTAAAGTAGTCAGTGTGCCAAAGAGACTAAGGGCCAGCATCATGTAACAATCACATAGGTCTTATAATGATGCTAAATAATCATAAAGTTAATGAAAAACTATGGATTCCAGATGCCACACATCACCTAACTGATTTCCTTTGGGTGAAGAGACACGGGGTAGTGTTGCCAAGGTATTTAGTGGTGCTGGTCCACTGATAAACTTGGAGAGCACCTCACAGCCCAGGAGCCTCTCTCTGGCTCTGGAAACCTTCCCTAGTTGCAATGACAGCACATACAGTTTGTTGTATGGCAATCCAAGCAAGAGGCTATTTTGTCTGGGACAACTTCTGATAGAAGCCACCCATCGCTAGAGACATTTCCTGCAAAAGCAAGTTTCCATCAATCAGTATGGCATATCAATAGGGCAAGATTTGACAGACAGCCTAAAACTTGGGGGTTTTATGGCAACCAAACCAATATCGATTCATGATCGAATACAGAAACGAAACGTAAAATCCAAGTACTAAAGGATGATACAATGGAGGGGAAATATGTAACACCTTCTGGGCTATTTCTATGGGGTTCTCAGATTTACATTTCCTCAGCTTTTTTTTTTTTAAACAATTCTTAGGGAGCAGAAACACACTCAGTTGCAAAGGTTGGAGATTCTGAGCTGAACAGACCTAAAAATTCATCATCCCCATAGCCCAGTCACTGTCTGGAGCTCCACCCGAGAGCCACCTCTAAAACCATTTCTCTTTCAACTAATACTACCAGGGACATCCAAGTCAAGAGAGGAGTCTGTGCAACTGCAGGGCTCAATCTAAGCAAAGAAATTACTAAAATGAAGGCCAGGCTATGATTGAGAAAAAGGGCTTGGTGATGTATGTCCACAGCAGACGGCAGAAAGTGTTGAAGCCAAGAGTCTGAGAAAGGCAGACTAGCATGTTCCATCTGCAACTCACCTGTAGTAATAAGGATGCTTCTTCCCATCACTGCCTTCAGAGGTGACGGCGCTGACAATGTCCTCGGTGTCTGTACTCACCAGCTTCACGGAATGGACAGTCAAGTGCTGGTTCAGATTTGCACGGCACTTAGCAGCATAGGGGCACAAGTGGCATTTGTATTTTCTTTCCTCTGCAGGTAAAAAAACAGGAAAAAGCCCAAATCGCTTTCAAAAAAAGAAGTCCCAACACCATGCAAGAATCAGTGAAGGTATCAAGGAAAGAATGGTTCAAGTCATATTTCAAATGGGGACCATGGTAATGCCTTGGAATTGTAAGTATCTAAAAGTCTTTACCCAGCAGGTCACTCCTATATTATTAGTGCTTCTAAATATAAAAGAAAATCTCCGACTGGGCGTGGTGGCTCACACCTGTAATCCTAGCACTCTGGGAGGCTGAGGTGAGAAGATTATTTAAGGACAGGAGCTCGAGACCAGCCTGGGCATTATAGCGAGACTCCATCTCTACAAAATTTTTTAAAAAAACTAGTCAGGTGTGGTGGCATGCTCCTGGAGTCCCGGCTACTTGGGAGGAGGTGGGAGGATTGCTAGAGCCCAGGAGGTCAAGGTTACAGTGAGTCATGATCACACCACTGCACTCCAGCCCAGGTGAAAGAGGTGGACCTTGCCTTTAAAAAAAAAAAAAAGGCCGGGCGCGGTGGCTCAAGCCTGTAATCCCAGCACTTTG